GGAGGGGAGGAGGGGGAGGAAAGTAATTGCATAAAATACCTCTATAAAAGTTTTAAAAGTTTAGGGTCAGCAAAATGGCTCGTGAGTAAAAGCTCTGCAGAACTTGTCTACCAGAGTTTGATCCCTAGTACTCACATGGTGGAAGAAGAGAATGGGTTTTGCAAGTTGTCCTCTGACCTCCGTGTGTGTGTGTGTGTGTGTGTGTGTGTGTGTGTGTGTGTCTGTGTCTGTGTCTGTGTGTGTGTCTGTGTGTGTGTCTGTGTGTGCGCGCACGCACGCACGCCATGGAATGAGCCCCTCCCTCTCACACAAAATAAATAATGTAAAAAATAATTTGAAGTTCAAGTTAAGGTAGTAAGGAGGCACTCTTTGGCAAGATGAAATACGTAGGAAAAAAAATGAGGCGAAGCAAAGCTGAGAAAACAAAGTGAGTTAGACTAAGGTTAGCACAAAAGATGCACATGAATCCTGCAGGCTTGCAAGAGGTGGGCCACGCGTTTAGCTCTAAGCTCTGTTCCAGCCACGCCAAAGAAGAGAGCATGGCTGGTTAGGTCACGAATAGGAAACAAATTTGCTGCCCAGAAGTTAAACCACAGAAGGTAGTTCCATACCGGAAGATTAAGAGATGTGGGTCTGGGGCTGGAGATGTTTTTTTGCTGCTGTTGCAGAGGACCAGAGTTTGGTTCCCAGCTCCCAGGTCAGGGGGTTTACAACCACCTGTAACTTCAGTTCAGTGGATCCAACATCCTCTTCTGGCCTCCAAGGGCATGGCACACACCTGCATACACACACACACACACACACACACACACACACACACAAATAAGCTTTTAAAAAAAATGTAGGTCTTTGGGAAAGCTACTTTTTGCCATTCTTTTAAGAAGGTAACTACTGCCTTTTCTACATTTATTTGCAGAGGAACTACATGAAAAGGTGAGAAAGAAAGGCTACTGTTGAGTTCAGCTTCTCATTCACCATCCCAGGCCATTTATTTCTAACCCTATAATCCTATGACACAAACAAAAGCTATCCAGTTCAGTTCAGCCAACCCACAGAGAAGGAAATGTACTAAGCACCTTGATCCTTGAACACATTCTTTGAAATTCTTACCACCACCCCATGGACTTCTTAAAGCACTCTCTTCACCCATATTAGCACTCTTCCTTGATAATGAGATATTTTCTTCATCTCAATTCATGCCCTGCCTGTTAGCTTTATGACACAGTAACCCCAGGACATGCTAGCCCTTAAATTGAAGAGACGGGAGAAATGACTCCTACTGGTTCTCGTGGTTCTCAGGGTCAAACCCATGCTAGGCAAATACTTCACCATTGAACGCGATCCCCAGCCCTTCCTCATGGGGTCTCACGAAAAGGACAGAATGTCATGTAAAGCACAATGCTCTCAATAACAGGAGCAGAGCGGCGACACCACTCTTCCCTTTCATAATCTTCCACATGCCAAAATCTTCACAATAAAAGTACAGTTTAATGGAAGCTCTTCTGCCTATCACGATAGCAGCGGGGACTGTGTACAGTGAGGTGAGCAACTTTTAAATTAGGTAATGGAGAAATGTTACCATTTCAAAAGATTTTCTGAAAGCAATAAAAAAAAAAGGAAGAAAGAAAACAAATGACGAGTGAAGACTCCCGTCTTCGGAGTTTTGCTGTAATAATTCGTAGGCGGTTTATACAACTGGTGCAAATATAAAAATTTAATAAGCACATTGAATAAATGTCCTCCATATGGC